TTATCTCTGGTGAGGGCCTTCCTGCCAAATACATAATTAAGTTGTGGATTACATCGGTAGGACCCAGTTACTTCACCACCTTTGTCAATTGTACATCTAAGAATTTGAAGCCTATTGCAGGGTCTTGAATATACAAGAAACAGGAAGGAATGCAGAAACATTCCAAATAGCAGATCAATAAGAAATAGCTTGAGGATGAGAAACATATCAATCTGGGTTTTCTGTGATCACAGAGTATCAGCTCTAGATGACAGCATCAGTCCTGAAAGAGCAATCCAAGTTGGAAGAGTTAGGCCAAACTCTGGTCAAATGAGGTTTCGTTTTTCCCTCACCATCTCTGTCAATCCCAGGGTTTCACCTGTTAGTGGAACAGGCACGAGGGATATTTAAAACACTTAGGGAGAATGGCAACGTCTGAGCAATCAGATGGATAGATATGAGAAAGAATCTAAGCAAAAGGTCAGTTAGAATTGTTTCACTAGTTCAGGCCAAAAGGGCTAAGAAGTTAAACTGAGTAATGCCCATGGGAATGGAGAGGATGGTTTAGATGTGAAGGACATGATGGAGTACAATTAATAGCCCTTGGTAACTTATTGAAAACACATGTGATGGGGTGGGGGGTTGGGGGTTACCCAGAATCCAAGATGATGGCAAACCTATAAGCCTTACTTCCAAAGAGAATTGTGGTGACTTTAACAGAAACGAGAACTTCAGAGGAGGCCCAGGTTGTGGTCAGGCTGGCAGCAGGAAAAGAGGGACAAAATCCCAGACTCCAACAAGGACACCTGAGTTTGATGGACAAGGAAGAAAACCGAGAAGAGGGCTGCCAACAGCTACAAATGTAGGATCAGAGCTGAGGAGAGACATCAGAGATGGAGATAATGAGTCAGCTCAAATAGCCTTAAAACGTTTTACTGAGCACGAACGATGTAGCTTAATAGGTGCTCTGATACTTGCACAGGTGGACTAGGATCATGGGTGGTGGTATTCACTTGCTCATTTGCTGAGGCTTTTGGTCCTGCTTGCCCCTCAGGGAAAGATGAACAGGGGCATGCAACAGTGTGGTTCCTGAGCTAAATGAGCTATATTTGCAAAGCTAGTTGGTCCAAGATGCAAAGTAAGAGAAGATGCAGTCTTCACCTAGACCTTTTCTCAACAACCAAAACTTATAATTTTTTAAAAGTTCTTTTAAAGTATGTTTCAGAGACCAACAGATGGTATAATGGCTACATTGCTAGACTTCAACGTGGTCCACAATAGTTCAAGTCCCAGACCCAGCAGCTCGAATCTCATACCAGTCATGTGTGCATGCCCAAAATCCCAAGAGGAGAAGGGAGGAGAAGGGATCATAGGGAGACCATTCTGGTAGTGGGTGTTTTCTTGATTTCTGTCTCTCCAGTGAGTGCATGTGCCCTATAGCAAAAATCTCTTCTAAAAATAAATAAATAAATAAAAAGTATATTTTCACATCAGTGGGACTGGAAAGAATGCTTTACAGATCAAAAATGTTTACATAAATAAAATACTTTAACTTGTTACTAGGAAATGACAGATTATTCAGAGAAATGTTAGTCTGATTCAGGAAATCAGAATCTCTAAGAAAGAAATAGTTAGGTTCCCCTGTGCCAAGAACACAGGACAATATTGATCCAAAACTGACATTCTCATTGTTAATAATGACACAAGTCTCAGCTCATCAAGTTCTGCTTTTAGTAGGTTAACTTGCTACTAACTTTATTTTTCTTTCTTCGTGTTTATGTACTATTTCCTCTTCCCACATTATTTTTAGAAATTTATTCTTGGCAACTTATGGACAAAACATTTTGAAAAACTGTAAGTTCCAACCGTCCCGTTTCTACATAACAACTTAAATTGTGAAAGAACACACTTTCCCGATTAACCATTTTGCTGTAATTCAAGCACCTTTTCTACTTCAGCAATTTACACAGCCAGCTTATATTTCTATGACAAACCACATCCAACATTTTGCTAAGATGTAAGAAAGGAATCGTAATAAATATTTTAACTAAAATATACCGATGGCATTTTATATGAAAGAAAGGTGAATACGCAGTATAAATTAGAAAAGAACAAGAAAAAATATTTATGCAATAATTAAAAAGGTAGGCTTCGTTTTAATTTTCTTTTTCTTTCAAGATTCACATTTAATACTTCAGTATGTTTGATACAAAACAGGTTACTAGGCAACTGATTCAGTTAAATCACCTCAGACCTATTCTCATTTTCCTGGGTTATAGAGTTAGAACCACAAACAGATGTCCACAGGGCACTATTACTCACATCACCCCCTTCCTAACCTTGCTCAATGGCAGTTAGCTGTGGTCACAGCCCAAACTCTAACACCTCAGGGAAAGGGAGAGGAAATGCTAAAAAAAGAGCAATAGGAAGAAACCTGTCATTTAAGCCTTTGCCAACTGTGGGTAGGACAAACCCACTCTATTATGTTTAAAAGGTATTTCTTGATAGGGGAAAAATTAGGTACGTTGAAAGGGAAGCACATTAAAGAGGGTTTCTGGTGTTTTCATCCAGATCATTTAACCTCTAGATCTTATGATGAATACACCTCAAAGCTCTTGCTAGAAGCCAAAGTTGCTTCATAGAAAAGAAAGGAGAAAAAAAAAAAAGTAAGAGGGGAAGGGTGAGGTAATTAGGTGGGGACACATTTTTATAAATTCTTTTCCTCAAAATTCAGAGTGTGAATAATGATATAAGGAGATGAAACATGAATAAATGTGGGTATTACAACCTACTTTGAAAGTTGGGCTCATACTGTTTAAAGTCAAATTAATAATCCTCTGGTATATTCTATAATGTATTTTCCAAATTGTTCTAAAAAGCCTCAAGGCACATGTACAATGAAATCATTCAGCAAAGTTCTTTAAACAATTGATAATGGTAATAAAATGAAAACTGGCTACACCTAACTGTAACCCACATTGAGATAATTCTTTGCCCTTCTATGGCATTTGCCTTGAAATGACTGACCTCTGGGTAAAGATTAATTAAATCCCACAACTAGAATGAGGGACAAAATTCCAGACTAGGACAATTAAATACTGTTATAAAGCACCATTTTATTCATGGGTTGAGTTACACCTGGGTCAGATTATGCCCCTGGTGTACATGAGAACGTTGAACACATTTTTCACTCTGAACCCAAAATACTTATAACACAAGGTTATCCTTTGTTCAGAAAAACTGATTAAATGACCAACTCAGGAACATTTTGCTTTTCCTCATCCATCCCTAGCTGCCTCTGAGTTCCTAGTTCCCAGATGATGTTGACCTAATCCTACATTTAAAGTATTACAGGATTTGACAAAATGATAAAATAATTAATTTCCCAAACTCAACTGCTTTTCATTTTGCTAACCTGTCTTCAGTAAGAGAACAGAACAAAATGCCCCATATGCTGTAGGAGCTACTTCAACTGAGCATAAATGCAGGTCTTTCTTTCTGCCTTCAGTATTGGATTTTATTTAGTTTTGTTATATTTTTAGAAACAGATTTTTTTAAAAAGATATCATTCTTCTCCAATTGTAACTTGAAGTCTGCAAGACATATGTCTTCTAGGAAATAACTAAGAGCCCCAAGCAGGAAATGGCCAAGTAACTGTCAGATGGCAATGGTAGTGCTTTGAGCCACCACTATTCCCTATTATATTTGAACAGGAACCTTAAAATGCAATATAGCTCATTTAGGCACCCGATTTCCAGCCACCGTTCAGGTTTTCATGTCTCATTTCCTCTCTTCCAAGTTAAAACTGACCCTCCAACATGTTGATCATTTAGACTTCACTAACATCATCTGCCATGTGCAGAACATGTTTCTCAAGATCATATTAATGTCAATGAACATTCTGGTCTACCTGGGATAGGTACAGAGTCCAGCTCAAATGAAAAGACACAATAATATGTGAATAAGGAACAAAAATCATGTATTTAGCTTGCTCTAGCTTTAAGCAAGCTCTGATTGAGATTTTGAGAGATATTTTCTGAAAAGACTTCAAGAAGACCAGAAGCCTTAAGATACATTTTAAAAGTTCAGCAAAAGTTTAAAAAGTTAAAGTTATGAAAGATTGACTCAGTGAAAAAGGTTCTACTAGGGGCAGGAAAACATCTTCATAATGATATTAATATAAACACAGGGAGGTAAGTTGTGATCATGCAATAATTTGTTTGGCTGAAGGAGGTTTAAGTTTAAAACAAGGATGCAAATATATACATACGTACATACATACACACATACACACACGTAAAATATATATTGCTTGAAGACAATATAAAAATACATCATGACTTTCCTGACAACCTAATATAATATACCTGTGAAAGACAAACTACCTTTCTGTTGTTACATTTAGTGTAGCATATTACAGACCCTCAGAGTTCTCTTGTGACTAAAATTGTAAAACAGTATCTGTTTCCTCTAAAGAAAGATGAGAGGTTGTCATATTGCTTACATATTAAAGGAATTGCATAAGTGACTTCACAGATGTTCGTAAGCACACAAGGAGCTATTACCGAGATAATGTCTAAAGGTGATGTCTTAGACAAGAGCAAAGCAGGTAAGACAAGACCCCAGCTATGGTGTCCGAAAGTAGACATTGGAAGAACAGTGCATGCTGTTATAAAACCTGAATTCATGTTTTCGGAGTGACATCTTCATTCAGCCTTGGCACTGCTATCTCCATAGCCAAGAATACAAGTCAACTTTCCAGGGCAAGCCTAAAAAATTCTCAGTCAATGTGCAGTGACAATCCTTCTTTCCATTTGCTATTTAAAGGAATCTCTTGTAAACCACAACAAGCTCTGAAGATCACAGGATGAGGTCAGTGGAACTCTGAGTAGAACTGAGAATTCCTTCCTCCAACGTCACCATAAATCCTGCTGTTCAAGGATTTCTGAGCTACTGGAGCAGAAAGCCATAGGATCCCCACAGAGCCTGCTTTCTCAGGGTCTGGACCACTGGGCTTCTCTTTAAACTTTGTCTCATTATCAGTAGCCCAAGGAGCTCACAGGCTCTGCCTCAGGGCCTCATCTCTTATGCCCTTACTCATTCTCTAGGGCATAAAAACAAATGACCTGCTGGTTTTCATTTATTGCTAGAGCATGTTCTCCTTGTTCATCTTCAGCTAGGCTGACAGCAGTAGAGCAACATCAGCAAGTTAATTTACCTTTTGTTCACTTTTTTTTTTTTTTTCACTTTTTCATTGACCTGACAAACACTTTTGGCCTTACTTGGAACAGAACACTGGTAGGTTTTACTGGGGTTGGTGAGCGGAGGCAGGAAATTCCTGGCAAGTGGGCTGGGAGAGCATTCTGGGGCTGCCACATGGTGGCAAGCAATTTCTCTGTCTCTCATCCTGGTCTGGTAGTTAATTTGTTTGAGCAAGTGAAGAAGATGGGATGACCCAGTGATTTTATTTTTTTTTTTGAGGGGGGCATGTAAAAACTAAGGGATGAAAAGACTGAGAAGGGAGTTTGAAGAAATCTGTTTTAAGCTACTTTTTATATCACTTCCCAAACAGGTGCCTTCCTCCTAACTTCAGACACAGCTAACTCCACAAGCCAGTCTTCAAGCAGACCATTGTGAATGAAGTCTTCACTGGGCTCCCCACTGCCCACAGCTGTACTCACAGGTGCTTTCTTTGCTTACTCAAACATTAGCTGAGACTGTTGAATAAATGGATAAAGAAGGTGAGAACACTATTTCTTAATTAGAGAGTGTGAACAAAGCAAAAAGGGGTAATCAGAAAGTAGAAAAGCAAAAATGACTTTCTATTTGTTCTTGATTTTTCATTTGTTTGTTTTGTCTTTTTCTGAAAAAGGATGATTCAGCCTAGCCACAGTGGCACAGTGATACCTAATGCTCTGCCATGTTTGAAGCCATATGGAAGACGGGGGATTGGTTCCTGGCTGGATCTGTTCATGTGAGTGTACACATCCAGGATCCTGGCTGGCTGGAAAAGGCTGCATGGGGCAGGGGGGATGACTGTAGGGTGAGACTCTGTTGAGGGTGCTTGTCTTGTTCTCTCTTGCTCAATGAATGAATGCATAGTTAAATAAATTTAAATTTATTTAAATAGATATAATGCACCAAAATGATTTCTTTTCTTAGATATGAGTAAATAAATAATGTGTTGTCTAAGGACAGTGCCAAACAAAAATAGAATTCAGGTATCCTTTGATTCAGTTTGCTTAACTTTGCCATCTTCACCTTGAGAAAGATTCTCTTTCTCATCTAAACCCTACAGTAAGATAAACTTGAGCTGTGATTTCTGCATAGCATCTGCTCCTAAGTGAGAATGGCCCCTGGAGTTGGAGGCCAGAAATCAAGAAAAATCATATCAAGGAAGAAAACCACCAAATCAATCTCTCCCTCTCCGTTCCCTCTCACATGCAGATACTCCATATTGGCAATATTAGTACATCTTCTGAAGAGACATAAATGAATACATGTAATGGAATTTATCTTTAGGGGAAAACATAATAATATCGCATGCGTTGTGAGAAAATTTTCTAGAAAGAAAAAAATGATAATTGATTGATGATACAAATTTTTTCTTTTTCTTTTTTTTTTCCTTTGGAGAGGTTTTAGCTATAGCACGTGTGCCCTCACCAGAAAGAGAAAGACAGAGAGATAGAAAGCGAGAAATCACCCCCCATGGGGGATGGCCGCGCCGCAATCTCTTCTCCATTCTCCTCTCAAGATCTCGGGCACGCACACACGTGCCCAGCGTGAGTTTAAGCCACCGGGTCTGGGACTTGAACCACGGTCAACTACATGGGAGTCCAGCGACATAGCCATTACATTAACTGCTGGTTCCGATGATACAAATTAATTGTTGCCATTTACTGCCTTTTTTTTTTTCTTTGCACAGAAGATAATTAAGATGACACCAAGAGAAACTGCTTTGACTATTATAGAAATCAGACTTAACAAGTCAAATGGCTTCTTCTGATGTAAAACCACTGTTATTTTCCTCCATTCTACCTTCTATCACTTCCTTCAGGAGCTCTACCTGCAGGGTGATACTGACTTTTTCTTGAGTCAGCAGGCATGTGTATCTTTCATTTGGCAGGCTTCTGACAGGCAGGGTTGACAGACATCTGAGATTCATCCCCATCCATCAACCTGACAGGTTTCACAGCACTAGATTTCAGTACCTGTAACTGTACCTCCCCAGGGCCTCAGGGCCACCAACCAGCTTAATATCAGGGAAGAGATGGTAGGGCAATTTGCTAGCATTTCCCTGCATCTTTATGTGTTCACTGGTTAAGATAAACAAAGAATGCTCCAAGCCTTTTGTCCTAACCTGGAGGATGTGAACCTCAGCTGAGTTCATGTGTGTGGTGTATGTATACACAAGAATGTACATATGCACATGTGCATTTGCATGCAGATATGTGCAAATATGTGCACATATGAAGTAGACTTAAAAACATTTTTTTTACATAGTCATCTTGTTTTCCTTATATTTTCAGCAGTAAAACAAAGATGCCATCAGTCTCCTTATATGGAAGTACCCATGACACTCAGCAAACTTTCTAGTCAGCTACCAGCACATAAATGAAATCTGTTCTCTGGGTTGCTGAGACGATTATTTGATAAGCTTATCTTTGTGGATGAAGATTCAAATTTGTTTTTACTGCAGACCCATGTGAGAAAACAAACTAGTCTCCAGTTTTGATTGCCAGAAAAAAAAATTTGCCATTTATTAAAGAGACTGATTGCAAGAAAATGTCATTTGCACTACTCAGATAATAACCATTCAAAGCAAAATCTTGACCTCTATATGACCTATTATTTTAAAAGCAAAGATTCTTGATGCCTTTCTTTAGGAAGGTGATTACAACCATTATCAGAATATAATTACTAAATCCAATGGTCCTTTAGTGATACGATTCCTCCAGGTGTTTATTAAATATACAGATTATCAGTGATCTTTAATGACATTTCTGATTCAAACAGTAAGTGCCTGGAGCCCCAGGCACCTAAAATTTAACAAGCTCTTCGGGTGAAGTCAAACTAGTCTAGCATGGTATTTCTGACCAGGGGTAAAACCGAGGCTAAAGTGTATTGATAATTTTGTCTTGCATTCAATTTTATTGAGGAAAAAAATACCAATTAAAGTCATTAGACAAAGAAATATAGGAGACTGTATCTTTAACATAGCTGTATTAATGTGACATTAAGGTAACAATGGGATATAAGGGTATTACTAAGTCTTCATTTAGGGCTTAGTTTGGAAGACTATATGCCTTCTTTCTAGTTGTAATGACCATTGTGAACTTTGCAAATTCTTGATAAAACTAGGCACTCGCTCTGCACCATTTAGGGTACAAGTCCAGAGTACAATGTCATGACAGTCCAGCAATAACATAAAGCTCAGAAGTCCAGTCTATTTTTTCCTTTGTTTCATGGTGTAGAATTTCTGAGAGCTTACAGCTTATAAGGGGAGAAGTCTATTTAGTTTGGAATGGAGGGAGGATAGGCATTGCCCCTTTCCTAGTATCTGCAGTCCAGGATAGGGTCTTACTTTGGCCACAGCAACAATTCACAGGTCAGCCGAGTCATTTCCTCACTGTAATCCACAGTAAAAGGGGCTCCTGGCCATTTTGGCTAGGACCCTAGAGATGAAAGTCTATGTGATTTTTTTTTTTTTTTTTTATAAGGGGAGAAGTCTATTTAGTTTGGAATGGAGGGAGGATAGGCATTGCCCCTTTCCTAGTATCTGCAGTCCAGGATAGGGTCTTACTTTGGCCACAGCAACAATTCACAGGTCAGCCGAGTCATTTCCTCACTGTAATCCACAGTAAAAGGGGCTCCGGTCCATTGTGAGAAGGACCCTAGAGATGAAAGTCTATGTGATTTTTTTTTTTTTTTTCTGTCAGACTTTGGGCTGCCTCAGGATTGATTTGTGTGGGTCTAGATGGAGTTGCGTGGCAGAGTCTGGCCTCTCAGACACCTCACAATGAAATAATTTTAAGGCAGCTCAGAAACAGAGCATTTTTATTTTCTTTTTTACCTTTTCTCTCTTTCTGTTTCTTTTCTTCCTCATTTAAATTTTATCATATCTCAATTTTAGTCCTAGCATTTTTTTAAAATTCTGCTTTCTTTTCTATTTCTTTTTAAGGGGGTTCTAGTTTAATATTCATTTCACAAAAAAATAAAATTTGAGGAAGATTTGGACATAATTAGCTACAGACTGGAAATACACAATGAAAAAGACTTGGTCACACCCTGAAGAAGCTCATGGTTCAGTTGAATAAATAGAAAAGTAAATGACTCAAAGTGGAAATAAAGCCACAATGGAGAAATAATAACAACCTGAGGCACACACAGAAGAGGCACCTATGTTGGGTAGGTGAGAAAGAGGTCTCACAGAGAAGGAGGATGAGCTGAGGTCTTCAGGAATTGGTTAGGTGAGAAAGAGGGTAACTCCTGGAATTCTCATAGGAATTCTTTCCAGTTTGGTTGCAAAAGTAGCTAGACAGAGGCCAGCATGATTTATCAGGACAGCCAGGACCAGACAATGACAGGTCAGACTGGGCTTTAGGGCAGGGCATCAGATTTTTCAAACCATAGATCCCTCGGGCAGTCTAATGAAATCTGAACCTTGTGGCTGGCAGGATAATGCCTCCTGGCAGATGTTTAGAATCTGTAAATATGTCCTATTACATACCAAAGGAGAATTTAGGTTGTGGATAGAACTGAGGCTGTTAATCGGGGGACCTTAAAATAAGGTATTATTTTGGATTATTCCAATGGGTATAATGTTATCATGAGGGTCCTTAAAAGTAGGCAAAGGAGGTGGAAGAGAAGATTGGAGTGATGTGATGTATCAAGACTTTGAAGTGAAGATGGAGGAAAGGATAATGAGCCAAGGAAGGCAGGACGCCTCTAGGAAAAGCTAGAAAAGGCAAGGAAATAGATTCTTTCCTAGTGCTTTTAGAAGGAACACAGACCAGCTGGCATGTTGATCTTATCTCTCTAAAAACTGTGCAGTCACATTTCTGACCACAGAAAAATAAGACATTAACCTGTGGTGCTTTAAGCTGCTAAGTTTGTCATAATTTTTTATAGCACAATAGAAAACAAATTTATGTGTCTTCTCAGAATGTTTGCAAATGCTTAGCATTTGGAAGCAGTGAAGTTGAAATTCAGTTATTTGAAAATAATATATGTATATGTATATTATATATATATATATGTATATATATATAAACTTTAAAATTTTTTATATCCAAAAGATCATTGGAAAAACAAAAATATGTCATGACTTTTCTGATGACCCAATATATATATATATTTCTTTGTTAATTCACCAAGTAAAATTTCATGGCAGTCATAATAATTATCATAATTTTGTAGTGATGATTATAAACAATATTTTGAGATATCTGCCACCATTGTGATAGGATATGAAATTACCTGTGATTTCTAATTATGATATTTATAGGTACTGTTAATATTATTGTAGCTCATTGCTAACATTCTTAAGTGAGGGCAAGGCCAAGTTTCTACCGGAGATTAGTAAATACAAAGATGTAATTTTCCTGTTTAAGTTCATTAACTCCTAAATTCTATCCAGAGATTCATTAGGGGTCAGACCCAGGTTGAGATCTGTTGTTTTAGGGAAGTACATGGCTGTAGTTAAAGTGAACTATTTTAGGACAAGGATTTTCGACTTAAAGCAACATCCTGGAAGGACTAAACACAGGAATAGACAACTCAAAAGAGCATTGCAACCCAGAAACAGAGCCCAGGAGATGAGAGCAACAGATCCACAAACCTGGGCCAATTGTGGGGATGTGATAAGCCCAAGCCATGGTTAGAAAGGGACCCAGCAGCTGTCATAACTCCCATGCAGGGTGTTATTAGAAAATTCTGGATATCTCTTAGAGTCCCCACAGAAGGTAGATCCTT